CCTGGTGATCTGGTCAGTAATACACTTCCTTGTTTGATGCTCTAGCAGATGCACTTGTGACAAATTAAAGTCCAATTAGCACTTTTTACATAAGTGAATAAAAGGCTAAAAAAAAGAAATCCAATGCAGCCATCACATCTAAGAATTGGTAAGCTGCAATATAATAAATTATTGTTTTTGGCTTTAGTACCACTTTAAGAACAGAATCATTCGCTTGTGTAGTGCAAATAAGGATACATTCACCTAAGGAAAGTGTTTGCGTGTGTTTGTGAGCCCTGAGTCTCCAATTTTTTGAACAGTTGACTATGCTCCAAATATTTGCAACAGTTTTAACATCAGGGTCAGATCTAGGGGGATGCTGGGGTGGGCTGTTCCCCCACAGATTTTAGTTGTGCCCCCCCCTCCCCCCTATCTCTGAGAGTGCATCCACTGATCCAAGAGCCAGTCTGATGAAGACAGTAAGGAGGCACTCTGATGGGACACCTGTCAGGGGGCACTCTGATGGGGACAATTGATCATATGTAAAGTGACACTCTGATGGGGACACTAATGTAAGGGAGTACTCTGATGGGGACACCTGATGTAAGGAGGCACTCTGATGGGGACACCTGTCAGGGGGCACTCTGATGGGGACAATTGATCATATGTAAAGGGACATTCTAATAGGGACATTAATGTAAGGGAGTACTCTGATGGGGACATTTGATGTAAGGGGGCTCTCTGATGGGGACACCTGATGAAAGGGTGCCCTCAGATGGGGACACCTGATTTTATGGGCATTCTGATAGGGACACTGATGTAAGGGGGCACTCCGTTGGGAACACTGATGTAAGAGGGCACTTGGATGGGTACACCTGATGTAAGGGGACACTCGGATGGGCACCTGATCTAAAAGGGGACTCTGCTGAGAAGTCATAATGTAAAGAGGGACTCTGATGAGGACTCCTAATGCAAAGGGAGACTATGCTAGAGACAGCTGATATAAGAGGACACAGGTTCTGTTTATTCATCGTAATCTAATGACAACCTAATACATAATAGTGTTTCCCAGGTCGTAACACTGTGTGACAGACTGTCAGTGACTCACACACCGTGTGACATTATGTTCCATGACTTTTTTTTTACTGCACCCCCCAGATCAGCTAAATCTGGCCCTGTTTTAACAATCAGAAATTTTTTAAACACAAGCAAACCTAAGTAGAAATCGGGATCATGCATTTTTTATTGGGTAGTGCTTATTCTGAGTAGCATACAAAGGAATTCATACATCAACCTGCATTCTAATAGTAACATGTTCATAAAATGTAGCACTATCACTATTTTGCACTGCCTTGTGGTGTACCTAAATTGGTAAATCTCTCCCTATGACTTTTTTTGTTGTTTATAAAATATTGGAGTATTTTGGGTACTTTTGATTCTGTTGCTCTATTGTAAAAGCTTGTCTACAGTTTAGGGCACATTACTGCAATACCGCTATTGTCATCACCTGTTGTTTCACATTAGCTTCTTTGCATAGTGCCATAGGCAGCTGAAGTGGAATGCTGAGGTGCATTAATGTACATTTCGTTCTCCTACTCACTAAAAGTTGAATTTTTAATGTTGTATAAAAGGAGATCTATGGTCGCAGTATACACTTTAATTTTCCAATAGCAGCATTGTAAAAGCAATACAAACTATAGGTATGTCCAACAGTCCAATAGATGCTTGCTTGAAAAACGTCCTTTCATTTTGTGAGTTCTGCATTTCTGCTGGCCATCTCTTTCCACAACTTCTTGGATTCCCAGCATGCTTTGCAGCTTCTCCTCTGCTTTTTAATTTCAATTCTAAGGATTACATATCCTATGGTACTTTACTGCCTGCAAGCTGTGATTCCTGTAATGACTCCACCTCTCAGCATCTCTGTAGTTCAGAAGGCAGACTCTGTAAAATGTGGGACACAGCAGCACCTATCAGCAGGGCATATTGAATACATGTTACAAAATTCAAGGAAGTAAATGCGTGGGGCAGGAGCGGACTGACACCTCATGGGTCCCCCGGGCAATAGGGGATCATGGGGCCCCTGTGTCCTTGCCTAAACTTAAACTTTACCTACAACATGGTTAGTATAGTATATTAGTATAGAACTTTACATTTTGCCAATAGATTTACTTTAACTGAGTCTTTAAAATGTAAAGCTTTGTTACAATTTGTTGGATTTACAGCTAAACTCTTTTTCAAATTCACGTGAAACCGGGAATCATTCCCAAGTCAAAATGTTCTTGACAGGTTATGAGCTTAGAAATGTAGACTTTCTCACACTCCTTGCCAAAGGATCTCCTATGAAACAACACAGAACAAATGCCCCTGGGAACTAAAGAGGGAAATATAATCAGTGCCGATAGCAATTACAAATGAACTGCTTCACCTTGTAGTATACTTTATATGGAGATGTTCACATCAAATAAAAGGGGCCAGATATTCACTTAGATGACTGTGCATGTCAGTCTTCAACATGGGAGTGCTAAGCCAGGAAAACTGCCAAGTAAAAGGACTTGTTGAGTAAAAAACATTGAAACAAAGCTACAGATTCAGGTATAAACGTTGAGTCAAGTGATGAGTTAGAGTGATACTAAACACACGGTGTTCAATTTACAAATATAAATGACCTCTTCTCTTTCTGTATGTGAATGATGGCACTGTAATTTATTTTAATAAAAAAAATATAAGTAACTTTTTTCCTAATTAATATACAACTTTCACATGACCCAGCTCTTTCCCAGCCTGTCTACAGGGAAACAGTGGCAGGAGGACCTTCTAGTCCTTTGCTGCTGGCCACACTCTCAAAATAAAAGTGCAGCCTTTGGGGTATAGAGTAAAATTATTCATTAATATCAATAAACTGTTCCAAATAGTCATGCAAATATGTATTTGAAATCAAATCTGTATTATTTTTGGCAATAACATGGTGTGGGCAGATTTCTGTTGGTCACAAGCTGTGTCACGCCCCTCCAGCCTGTGTCTTAGAATAACAGGGAGGTGAAACCCCCATCGATCGAGGTAGTGGACTGTTATTTACCACTGTGTTTACATTCACTTGCATGACTCTGTAGTTACATGGGCTGCTCAGATGTGATAAGGAGGAAATGCTCAGGGTAGAAATACACTGCAAACTGAGCATGTGCACTAGCTGCCAACACTGCTCTTCAAAATCCCTAACTGCATTGGGGACATGGACAGCAGGGGGAGACAGCGACCAAGTTTGTAGCTGCATCTATGTATATTCTATGTCTTTTCTCTATAATATCATTTTCCTGTTAGCTGAGAGGAAGCAGATAAACACATGTGGACTGTGCACTGTCTGTTCTGTAGGGATATATACAGAATCTCTAATAGGTTATGAGCCCAGCACCAGACAGAGACTCCCCAGACACCAGTCATAGCCTGCTGCAGCAAAAACGCAGCAACAGAAAGAAGACTGCAACAGAACAGAGGAACTATGCAGGTGTCAGGGCTCCCGGGTATGACCAGAGGTGTGTGACTGACGCAGGGAAACGCAGACTTCAGATATGTTATAAACAATGTAATTTATTAACACTAACAATACAAACATAAACGCAGTGCAATACTAAAACATAAACACAGTTCAAACAAACCAAACCAACCACCCACAGATAACAGTACATACAATGCAAGCGTCGTCAGGCAGGCCGGGTCAATATCAATCGGGCAGGTAGGTACAGGGGGAGCAAGCGGAGAATGGTCGGGGTCACAGGCCAGGTTCAGCAGGTAGTGGGCAGCGTGGTACAGAGGGTAAGGCAGAGAGAGAATGGTCAGACAAGCCAGGGATCAGGAGCAGGAGAATGGTCAGACAAGCCAGGGATCAGAGCAGGGTCAGCAGAGAATCATACAGGAACAGGGAGCAGGAACAGGATACAGGGCCCAGGAGAAACACAAACACCAAGGCAGAGTCTGCAGGTCTGAATGTCCCTTAAATACACCAGTATAATTAGTTCCAGGTGTTTGACTGGCTGCAAGGTTGAGTCTCTGATTGCTGGGAGCACCCGCTGGCCAGCCCTGGTACTGCAGCTCATAAGGCAGGTGAGTCCCACTATTGCTGGCCAGTCCATTCCTGACAGTACCCCCCCCTCAAGGAGCGGCCTCAGGATGCTCCAAACAGTCCTAGCTGGGCACAATGTTCCACCGCCCGGGTCTGGTAACTGGCGGGATATCAAAGACTGGCACACCGGGCAGGACTCCGGGCAGCGGCACACCGGGCAGGACTCCGGGCAGCGGCACACCGGCAGGGGCACACCAGGCAGAGGCACACCGGGCAGGGCACACCGGGCAGAGGCACATCGGGCTGCAGAGGCACATCGGGCAGAGGCACATCGGGCTGGACTCCGGGCAGAGGGGCACAGAGGCACATCGGGCTGGACTCCGGGCAGAGGCACATCGGGCTGGACACCGGGCAGAGGCACTCCGGCAGAGGCACATCGGGCTGGACTCCGGGCAGAGGCACATCGGGCTGGACTCCGGGCAGAGGCACATCCGGGCAGCGGCACACCGGGCAGACCGGGCAGAGGCACACACCGGGCAGAGGCACATCGGGCTGGACTCCGGGCAGAGGCACATCGGGCTGGACTCCGGGCAGAGGCACATCGGGCTCCGGACTCCGGGCAGGCACATCGGGCTGGACTCCGGCAGAGGCACATCGGGCTGGACTCCGGGCAGAGGCACATCGGGAAGAGGCACATCGGGCTGGACTCCGGGCAGAGGCACATCGGGCTGGACTCCGGGCAGAGGCACATCGGATTACCAGGTGAAGCAGCAGGCACCGGGCCCCCAGGCGGGGCGACAAGCATCGGGCCCCCAGGCAGGGCGACAGGCACCGGGCCCCCCGGCGGAGCGGCGGGCACCGGGCCCCCCCCAGGAGGGGCGACAGGCATCGGGCCCCCAGGCGGGGTGACAGGCATCGGGCCCCCCGGCGGGGCGACAGGCATCGGGCCCCCGGCGGGGCACAGGCATCGGGCCCCCAGGAGGGGCGACAGGCATCGGGCCCCAGGCGGGGCGACAGGCATCGGGCCCCCAGGTGGAGCGGCGGGCGCCGGGCCCCCCAGGCGGAGCGACAGGTCTCGGGCCCCCAGGCGGAGCGACAGGTCTCGGGCCCCCAGGCGGAGCGGCGGGCGCCGGACCCCCAGGTGGAGCGACAGGTCTCGGGCCCCCAGGTGGAGCGGCGGGCGCCGGACCCCCAGGCGGAGCGACAGGTCTCGGGCCCCCAGGCGGAGCGGCGCGGGCACCGAGTCACCAGGCACGACAGTGGGGGCTCCGAGTCAACTGGCAAGACTGCGGGCACCGAGTCAACTGGCAAGACTGCGGGCACCGAGCCAACTGGTGGAACAGCGGGCTTCGAGTTGTCTGGCAAGACTGCGGGCACCGAGTCGTCTGGCAAGACTGCGGGCACCGAGTCGTCTGGCGGAACAGCGGGCATCGAGTCAACTGGCGGAACAGCGGTCTTCGAGTCGTCTGGCAAGACTGCGGGCACCGAGTCGTCTGGCAAGACTGCGGGCACCGAGTCGTCTGGCAAGACTGCGGGCACCGAGTCGTCTGGCGGAACAGCGGGCATCGAGTCAACTGGCGGAACAGCGGGCACCGAGTCGTCTGGCAAGACTGCGGGCACCCAGTCGTCTGGCAAGACTGCGGGCACCGAGTCGCCTGGCAAGACTGCGGGCACCGAGTCGTCTGGCAAGACTGCGGGCACCGAGTCACCTGGCGGAACAGCGGGCATCGAGTCAACTGGCGGAACAGCGGGCACCGAGTCGTCTGGCAAGACTGCGGGCACCGAATCACCAGGCACGACAGTGGGCTCCGAGTCAACTGGCAAGACTGCGGGCACCGAGTCAACTGGCAAGACTGCGGGCACGCGAGCCAACTGGTGGAACAGCGGGCTTCGAGTCGTTTGGCAAGACTGCGGGCACCGAGTCGTCTGGCAAGACTGCGGGCACCGAGTCGTCTGGCAAGACAGTGGGCACCGAGTCAACTGGCAAGACTGCGGGCACCGAGTCGTCTGGCAAGACTGCGGGCACCGAGTCAACTGGCGGAACAGCGGGCATTGAGTCAACTGGCGGAACAGCGGGCTTCGAGTCATCTGGCAAGACTGCGGGCACCGAGTCGTCTGGCAAGACTGTGGGCACCGAGTCGTCTGGCAAGACTGCGGGCACCGAGTCGTCTGGCGGAACAGCGGGCATCGAGTCAACTGGCGGAACAGCGGGCTTCGAGTCGTCTGGCAAGACTGCGGGCACCGAGTCGTCTGGCAAGACTGCGGGCACCGAGTCGTCTGGCGGAACAGCGGGCATCGAGTCAACTGGCGGAACAGCGGGCACCGAGTCGTCTGGCAAGACTGCGGGCACCGATCGTCTGGCAAGACTGCGTCGTCTGGCAAGACTGCGGGCACCGAGTCGCCTGGCAAGACTGCGGGCACCAAGTCGTCTGGCAAGACTGCGGGCACCGAGTCACCTGGCGGAACAGCGGGCATCGAGTCAACTGGCGGAACAGCGGGCACTGAGTCGTCTGGCAAGACTGCGGGCACCGAATCACCAGGCACGACAGTGGGCTCTGACTCAATTGGCACGACAGCGGGCACCAGGTCATCAGGTACCGGATTGTCTGGCTCGACAGCGGGCATCGGGTCACCAGGTATGACAGCGGGCACTGGGTCACCAGGCATCAGGTCATTTGGCTTGCCAGCGGGCACCGCGCGTCATCTGGCAAGGAAGTGGGCACCGGGTCACCAGGCACTGGATCGTCTGCTCGGCAGCGGGCATCGGGTCACCAGGTATGACAGCGGGCACTGGGTCACCAGGCATCAGGTCATTTAGCTCGCCAGCGGGCACCGCGTCATCTGGCAAGGCAGTGGGCACTGAGTCACCAGGCACGACAGCGGGCTCTGAGTCAACTGGCATGACAGCAGGCACCGGGTCATCAGGTACCGGATTTTCTGGCTCGACAGCGGGCATCGGGTCACCAGGTATGACAGCGGGCACTGGGTCACCAGCATCAGGTCATTTGGCTCGCCAGCGGGCACCGCGTCATCTGGCAAGGCAGTGGGCACCGAGTCACCAGGTACGACAGCGGGCTCTGAGTCAATTGGCACGACAGCGGGCACCGGATCAGGTACCGGATCATCTGGATCAACAGCGGGGCATCGAGTCAACTGGCCTAATAGGATCGTCAGCTGGATCAGTTCATCATGCTGGGTAGCGGCATCAGGCTGAATGCAGGCATCCGGCTGAGTAAAGGCATCAGGCTGAGTAGAGGCATCAGGCTGAGTAGAGGCTTCAGGCTGAGTAGAGGCTTCAGGCTGAGTAGAGGCTTCAGGCTGAGTAGAGGCATCAGGCTGAGTAGAGGCATCAGGCTGAGTAGAGGCATCAGGCTGAGTAGAGGCTTCAGGCTGAGTAGAGGCTTCAGGCTGAGTAGAGGCATCAGGCTGAGTAGAGGCATCAGGCTGAATAGAGGCATCAGGCTGAAGAGAGGCATCAGGCTGCGTACAGGCATCAGGCTGAGTACAGGCATCAGGCTGAGTAGAGGATTCAGGCTGAGTAGAGGATTCAGGCTGAGTAGAGGATTCAGGCTGAGTAGAGGATTCAGGCTGAGTAGAGGCTTCAGGCTGAACCACGGAAGGCAGGTTCTCAGACGGCAGGTTCACCGGTTTGGATACTGGCAGGATGGTATTGGTTGGAAAGAATTTTCGCTTTTTTCTGGTTTTACCTACTGGAGCACTGCAAGTAAACGCAGGTCTGCAAACGAATGGAGCAGCAGACAGAGAAGAGCTGGAGGATGGAACAGGGGAGGGAGCAGTTTGCTACAGATGGCTTTTTTTTAACAGGGTTAAAGGCAGGATAGGTGCAGCGAGTGGGAACGGTAATGACATGCGGTAGATAGCCAAGTATACTGGGCTGTAACTGGAGGAGCTGTTGGGAATGCAGGAATAGAGCTTTGAGGAAATAGATTAGAAGCAGGACTGGGTCTTTGTAAGCTGACTGAGGCTGGGTGCAACAAATCTGTCCATGTCTGCAGTATGGGTTGAACAAAGCTGAGCTTACACAAAGCCTGTCTGACCAAAGACTGCACTGCGTTTATACAATCTCTTAGTATCTGTGGTGAACATGCAGCATAATGCTCCAAGAAGCAACCCACATCATCCTCTAATAACCATACCAGGGACTCTACCTGGTCGGCACTAAATGGCGGCAAAAATTCATCCCTGCATTCGGGGGAACCAGATGAAACCAACTCCGCACAGATCTGAATCAATGGCTGCACCTCAGAGAATTCTGTGCCCTGATCTACTAGAACATGAGCGAGCCGTATACATTCTAGCAGTTTCATCCCGGGGATACGCCTTCAGAGTTTGATAAGCATACTCTCTGTCATCAAACACTAGCAGATATAAATACACAACCTCATCAAGATCCATCCTTCCCATCAACAAACCAAGATGGCTTCCCTGTGCAGCCACTTCTGGTCAGGATTGGCCTTGGTGTAATGTCAGGGCTCCCGGGTATGACCAGAGGTGTGTGACTGACGCAGGGAAACGCAGACTTCAGATATGTTATAAACAATGTAATTTATTAACACTAACAATACAAACATAAACGCAGTGCAATACTAAAACATAACACAGTGCAAACAAACCAAACCAACCACCCACAGATAACAGTACATACAATGCGAGCGTCGTCAGGCAGGCCGGGTCAATATCAATCGGGGCAGTTAGGTACAGGGGGAGCAAGCGGAGAATGGTCGGGGTCACAGGCCAGGTTCAGCAGGTAGTGGGCAGCGTGGTACAGAGGGTCAGGCAGAGGAGAATGGTCAGACAAGCCAGGGATCAGGAGCAGGAGAATGGTCAGACAAGCCAGGGATCAGAGCAGGGTCAGCAGAGAATCAGACAGGAACAGGGAGCAGGAACAGGATACAGGGCCCAGGAGAAACACAACACCAAGGCAGAGTCTGCAGGTCTGAATGTCCCTTAAATACACCAGTATAATTAGTTCCAGGTGTTTGACTGGCTGCAAGGTTGAGTCTCTGATTGCTGGGAGCACCCGCTGGCCAGCCCTGGTACTGCAGCTCATAAGGCAGGTGAGTCCCACTATTGCTGGCCAGTCCATTCCTGACAGCAGGATTACATAAGGCACACACATGAAAACGGTTGAATGCTTGAGAGGTATAGGAGAAGAAATAAAAGATTTTCATGTCACAGCACTATTACTTAGTGGTTTACTATAAAGTTACAGTATGAAACACTTGTCACAGCACTTGGTCCACGTTCAGATGATGAACTGACATTGGAATATGTTAAGGGCAAGCTTGTTGAAGAATATAATATAAAATAGAAGAAAAATAGGAAAAAGATTGCAGAATCTGGAAAGCTAGAATGCAAAAAACAAACTAAACTACAAAAGGCCAAAAGTGTGAAAGAAAAAAATGATTTTTATAAATAATAATAATGAACATGTTTTTTAATCCAAAATTTGCAGACATGATGTGTTGATTCAGGAGCTATGAGTCACATGACAAATGGCAGACATTTCTTTATTCAGACCAGACCAGAAATAAAACAGAAAAAATCACCACAGTTAATGGGCAAATAATGGAATCAGAAGGAATAGGGGATGGTTTTCTTTATTGTCCTATTTCCCAAAGTGTCACCAGAAAGATGCCTATGAAAAATGTCCTGTGTCCCAGCTCTTGAAACTGATCTTTTGTCAGTGAAGAAGCTTGCAAAACAAAGCAATGCAGTGACCTTCCATGATGACAGTTGTGCCATCAGAAAAGGGATATCTTACTTGCAAAGGCTACAATTACAGATTAACTATATCAGATGAACTGCAATGAGGTGGTTAATACTTCCAAGAAGGAAAAAACATTCAAACTGCATTCACACATTGCACAGATGATTTGGGCACAGAAGTCCTGATATAAATAAAGAAATTAACTGAGAATGATTATGCAAGTAGAATACAAATTAGTCTATGTGATCAAACAATAAAATGCACCAGCTGTATAAAAGGAAAAATGACAAGAAAAGCCTTTTCAAAGCAGAGTAACAGCAGAGCTGAGAAACCTCTGGACTTAATTCATTCAGATCTTTGTGGTCCAATGGAAAAATTGACTCCAGGAAAGAAGAGGTATTGTCTCACTTTTATAGATCATTACTCCATGTATACTACACTATATCTTTTTACAAAAACGAAAGTGAAATAACAGAGAAACTTGAACAGTATTTGGCTCAAGTAAGCAATACATTTGGTGAAATGCTGAGTGTATTGCACACAGACAATGGAAACTGTATATAGAAGTGATAACACACAAATGATTCTCAGAAAGCATGGCATAATATTTCAAAGTACTGTACCATATAACCCAGAACAAAATGGAGTGGCAGGATGGATGTAGCATACTCTTTGTGAGATGCTATTTTCAAAATCGACTACGAGGAAAATCAACTAAGAAAACTCCATATGAACTGTGTAATGAAAAAAAACCCCCGAATTTGAACCAGATAACGTTTTTGG